TATATAACACACATTTCATTTTCCATCGCGTGAAGCTGTCCGCGAGAGTGACTGTCAAAGCTTTAATGTATTGTTGCTTCAACCATTGAATAAGACGGTTTTCTTCCCAGTTCCGCCAGGGTGCCTTGTTGCCGACTGAGCGAGGACGTCCGTTCTGCCGGTATGCCGCCGCTGCGGAACCGCGATCCCATTCCGAGAGGTGCGACGAAAGCGACATGCGAACGCTTCATCTTATATATCTGTTCTGTTGTGGGCCAGTCTATGTGGTCATAGCTGTACGAACGCCGGGCTGTCCCGTAAGACGCAAGCACAGAGACCATAGAAAGCAGCCGGCTTACTGGTTATGGCTTGTGACAACGCACTGAAATTCCGGAAGCTGGTCGAGGTCGCAAGGCGGTGGCAGTGTCATGAATATTACATATCCCGGATGGTTCTCCCGGGTTCCATAGTATTCTTTCACTTTCTATACACCTCTGTATATTCGTAGGATATTCTAGATATTCAGTCTGGCATGTATAAAAGGAGCTCGTACTGCTCAATAACAAGCCAGACTCGAGCTGGTCTTTCCTCACTCACATTCCTCTCGTCTGTCTCCTCAGCGTTGTTGTAGCTCAGTCCAGTTGGATTGTTAGTTGCTGACATTAGCTCGAGTCTCCACCAACTGCCCTACAACAATCCTCGTCACTCCCACACCAACCATCATCCATCTCCACACGACGATCCACCCTATACGCACATCCGACTCTCACCTTAAATCCTAACCCTACCAAATTCTACCGCATCAAGACCCGGACCCCTGGAACCCTTCTCCGTGCACTTGCACAACTTTTACCACATCACACCCCCGAAGTCACCTCTGTAATCACTAGCCCTTAGGTGGCTAGACAGAGCTCCGTCCAATTAGAATCGTACCCTGCCCTACCATAGGCGGCGTTACACGCTTTGCAGCAGGCAAGCAGATATTCCTGAGTACGACGTGGCAACCGGTTGCGGCCGGGCATCGGAAAAGCGATAACAGTCAGATCGACGATCCCTTTCTGGGCGTCGGACCAAAGAGAAGCAATTGCTCTTTGGGCTGTTATACTATTCCTAGAACTGTATTAAAATAGCGTTTCGGTTCTTTTTTGGAAATCCCTATCTTTGGCGAACTCTACCCCTGATCTGGTCATTACAACACGATTAGTCCCAGGGTTTGCTGCAATCAGCCCCATGGACCCGACACCCTATGACCACGCCTTCCTGTGATTGTAGAGGACATACACATCGAGAATTAGAGGGGAGATCCATCTACATACGTGGCGATAACGTACAGTACTGTGTACAACAACCGTGCCCACACTCTCCGGATAATAACAGTCGTTGTCCTCGGTGTAGAGAAGGGCTACGTGGAGAATTGTTACAAAGAGTTCCCACAGGAACACCCTCAGAATCTCTTGCAGTCCCGCAACCCATAGCATACGGTTCAGAACCCAGAACCAGATGAGACACTCTCGAATCGGTCACTGACCATCTCCGCTCAATTGCTCTCGGAGAATCTGAAGCACCACCAGAGAGCCCACCAAACCCCGTGGAAAAAGCAGTAGAAGATTCTAAAGCCTCGAATCCACCTTCTTGTCGTTCTCCCACCCCACCCTCGTCTCCATCTGATCCCGGCACAATGGCCGAGAACCAAGACAGTGCCGCGCTCCTCAATGGAAGTGCGATGAAGCCAGACGCCTTCAACGGCACGAAATCCAAGTACATTGCTTGGAAAACCCAAATGAAACTCTATGTAGTTACGCAGAGGAAGCGACTGCCAGAGCAATTTGATAGGGTCCTCATGATCCTGTCATACATGAAAAGAGGACACGCTGGCAAATATGTAGCCACGTATATGAAGAAGTACGACACGGATGAAGAAACCGTAATTCAGACTACCCAAGATCTATGGAAAGATCTAGATGTACACTTCCTCATCGATGAACAGGCAGAAGCGTACGATAGGCTGCAAGCAATGCAGATGGGAACGCTATCAGCGCAGGAGTTCTTCTCAAAGTTTGAATTATGTGCCTTCCAGGCAAACATTCACGACTTTGAGGCACATTTCCAGGAGTTGAAATTCTACTCTTCTTTTGGAGGGGGGTTGGTGGTTAAAATGTGGGTTGTGTGATTAAAAATCTGCAAGCACTGTGAAAAGAGTAAAATGCACTCTGGAGAGCACTTTCAGATGTAAATACTGTCAAATGGCAATATTCAGTGGCCAACAAGAAAAATACCCGATCGCGCAGTGGCGCGCGATCAGGAAAGACATCATATTGTAGATACCCATACGAAGTAATACTGTGTAATGAAACAGTAATGTGTTAAAAACCCGATCGTGCAGCAGCGCGCGATCAGGCAAAACATCATATTGTAGACACTCATGTGGAGCAATACCATGTGATGAAACAGTATTGTGTTAATAACCTGATCGTGCAGCAGTGCGCGATCAGGAAAAATATCACATTGTAGAGACTCATATAGAGCAATACCATGTGATGAAACAGTATTGTGTTAAAAACCCAATCGTGCAGCGGTGCGCGATCAGGAAAAACATCATATTGTAGACACACATATGAAGCAATACAATGTAATGAAACAGTATTGTGTTAATAACCCGATCGTGCAGCGGTGCGCGATCAGGAAAAACATCACATCGTAAAGACTCATATAGAGCAATACCATGTGATGAAACAGTATTGTGTTAAAAACCCGATCGTGCAGCGGCGCGCGATCAGGAAAAACATCATATTGTAGACACTCATATAAAGCAATGCTGTGTGGTGAAACAGTATTGTGTTAATAACCCAATTGTGCAGTGGCATGCAATATCATATGTCAAATTAAGTTGACACATAATAAGGGCAAACAGAGACAAATACTGGGCAGACAGCAAAGCATGAGTTACCCAGACAGGCCCTGATGGCCCTGATAGAAGCTACTAGACCCAGGCCTGCAAAATAGGAGCTACCGTTTGAAAAGAGAAAAAATTGGCATTTGGGCCCCTAAAAATCTGGTGCCCTGGAAAGAGTGGGCGAGACCTTTGGAGCAAGCCAGAACTGGGGCCAGAACACATAGAAGCTATTCAGAAAGGCTTGGTATTTGTCAGGAATTTGTCAGAACTTAGCTAGGACAAATTGGAAAGAAATCTGGGCAGAAAGTAGCTTAGAAATGCAAACCTCTATATAGGGCTCTCAAGTGTATATAACCCCCCCACTCATGTACTTAGTACTCTAGCCCCATATTAAGCAGTAATTTCTCTGCACTGTGATGAGCTCTTTCTGAATTTCAACCACCTGCATAGGTGACGCCTGGTTCAGAGGTCTTTGTGTGTGTTTATTCTAGGCACCTGCTGTTGAGCTCTAGCTCCAGCCCAGTTCTCTGTCCTCAAGCAAAGTTAATTCCTGGGTATCTCTTAGTCCATTTAATGTTTTTGTATCACCTGCATGGTATTGAGTTTACCCAGTCAGTCAGTTCAGTCAGTCAGAACCTTGAGTCCACCCAGCAACTCAGCGCTGAAGTGTGGTATACAGATGCCTTCTCACGTGCTCTGAGTTCACTCAGCAACTCAGTGCTGAAGCGTGGTATACAAGCTTTTGTCTTATGTTACGTCTATGTCTACATCTCATGTTAGTCTCACTAGGTTAATAGCACACGACTGTCTTTCAGTGGTCTCTGTTGGTGTCACATCTCTGCTTGTAGTTTATCTTCAAGTAGAATTATTTGTGAAGCACTCCCAGTCTTTCTCTATAAGCATATCCTTGCTTGTGACCTAAATTCTCTCTCTTGAATGCCTGAGGCAGAAGTCGACCTAATGCCTGGTCCACCTAACTTGGTTAGAAGGCAAGCTTAGTTTCTTTCTAACTAAGTCTTACTTTTTTCACTCATGATAGCAATCAGGAAGAACATACTACAGACATTTATATGAAACAATACCATGTTATGAGGACTAGTAGAAGTCAGCAGGAATCAAATTAGACATCACTCCATCTACAAATGCTCATTAACAACACCTGTGTGAGAGAGTACGTGCTCTGGGCGAACACTATAAACTGACTTGCTACAGCGCTGTTGATGTGGACTAATGTCGACACACCACGAGGGATGCTACGTGGATCTAATGAGAAGGCGGCGCTGACAAGGTCTGGCGACTGTGCGTTAGCTTATTCAGCTAGCCCAATTAACCAAGTTGTATTAGTGACTGTACTACGATACAAACGAAGGCTTATCTAGCCCAATTAACCAAGAGGTTGAGATGGGGCTAGGTAGCGACAAAAGGACTCCTTA